ATTTAACCTTAAACCTTGCTGCTCACCACCCACCAGTACATCAAGTGCTTCCTCGGTCATTCTGCAGTGACATAGACCCCCTGGGGTAGCGGAACCGCAGCTCATTGGCCCATCCCGCTGATGGACATTTCAATTCTTCCCAGTGGTTTGCTCTAACAAACCTGTTAAATTTATGTGTACTCATCTCACGCACGTGAGGACGGCTTAGGATGAGTCCCCAGAAGCGGGCTTGCTGGGTCCCAGGATAAGGCCTGCGGTCATTTGGATGAAGATGACCAAAGTGGGTTTTCAGGGTGGCTGCGTTAGTGACTTAGCTGTCTTGCTCCCTGTTTTTCTCCAGGGTGATGCTGACGGGGACACTGTCTGACCGGCAGCCTGCTGAACTCCACCTCTTCCGCAATTATGAGGCTCCGGAGTCTGTCCGGGAGCCTCGTTTCAGCCAGAATATTAACCTGAAGCCTCCAACTCAGCCCTCAGGTTAAAACAGCGTCCGCGGGAAACAATGGGCCTGAGGGGCCGCAGGGCGGAGGGGAGGGCTCGCAGGACTGCTGCCCGGCACCCCCAGCCCAGCCACTGCCCCGAGTGTCAGCTGGAGGCAGGCAGAACTGGGGGGCTCTCGCACCTCAGGCAGGCAAGGGGAGGCCCCCGGCGGCCCTCAGCTGCACCCTGCCGTCTGCCGGGACGCCGGGGCCAGAGGCCTGGCCTGTGGGTCCTGCTTCCGAAGAGTTCCCCGCCTCTCCCTCTTCCTGCAGACCCGCTCACACTCATGCACACGCACGCAGAGACCTGAAGCACATGGGTTTGTACCAGTCCCCTGTGCCACTGGGCCACCGTCTCCCCTCACCCCCAGATCAGCTGGTGTGGCGGGCTGCCCGGAGCACAGGGGCAGCCCCCACCTACTTCCGGCCCAATGGGCGCTTCCTGGACGGTGGGCTGCTGGCCAACAACCCCACGCTGGATGCCATGACCGAGATCCACGAGTACAACCAGGACCTGATCCGCAAGGTGAGAGCACCTCACGTGAGACAGGCTATGATCGTCCACTGTAGCCGCCCTGTTTCAGCAGACCTTACTAAGGATTGATTCCTAGTAGAGCATGTGGGTTTTTTTTTTTTTTAATGATTTTATTTATTTATCCATGAGAGGAACACACAGAGAGAGGCAGAGACACAGGCAGAGGGAGAAGCAGGCTCCATGCAGGGAGCCCGATGAGGGACTCGATCCCAGGACCCCGGGATGACAACCTGAGCCGAAGGCAGATGCTCCACCACTGGGCCACCCAGGGGCCCTGAGCACGTGGCTTTCATTCTTGTGCTCATTCATTGGTGCATTGCTTTATCTCACCCTTGACCCTGCTTGATGGGTGGCATCTGCCCGGAGTCGTGTGCTCATCTGGGGGATTCTGAGGCCCAGTCTGGTGTGAGTGGTGATGGGTGTCTAGTGGGGAGAGCGGTGGGCACACCAGTCCATGCCAGCCTCAGTGCTGGCCACTCTGCCCAGCCCGGGGACACATGCTTGCCTTCAGGGAGCTCACATCTAGGGGAGACTATTTGTAAACAAGGATCTGCCCCTCCAGGGGTTTCGGGTGCTGTGATAGGGGGCTGTGCAGGAGCCCGGGAGCAGGACTGCCTCTGCTGAGACCTGGCGGCTTGGAGGGGCCCATGGAGGAGGCCGCTGGGGAGGAGACTGTGCTCAGTCAGGGATCCAGAGGAGCAGAAGTGGCCCTGGGCCCCAGGAGCGTAGCGCAGAGGTGGGGCAAGGTCTCTGTGTGTTAGCGGCGGTGCTGGGTCAGGGGCTCAGGCCTCGGGTCAGACAGCTGCAGGGTGGGGGTCCTCCCTCTGCCTCAGTTTCCCTCCAGCCACTGCACGGGGGAGTGCTGGTGCCTGCGTGGGGACTGCCATGAGGCATCTGTGTGCTCTTCTGTGAAGTGGAGGGCAGTGCCTGACCCCTCGTGTGCCAGATCCTTGCTGGCTGTGGTTCTCATGCCAGATCCTTGCTGGCTGTGGTTCTCACCCCGGTCCTCAGGAAGCCCTGGAGGCAGCCCCTGAGTGACACAGCAGGGGCAGCAGTCACGGAGGCAGGCGCCCTCTAGGGGCTAGACAGGGCAGGGCAGGCTCCCTGGAGGAGGAGGGACTCAAAGATTCAGCTGGGGAAGGGTCTTCATCATCTAAGTGGCCTCCTATTGTGGATGAGCCCCCTCGGGAGGGGATCTTGCCAAGATCGCCCAGCATATTGGCAGCAGAGCTTGTTGTGGAGCAAAGGAGAGGACAGCACAGGCTCTGCTCCTGCCACCTGGGGAAGGGTTTGCCGGCGGGAAGATCCCCTCCAATAACCCCTGTCCTGTCCCCAACAGGGTCAGGGTAACAAAGTGAAGAAGCTCTCCATCGTGGTCTCTTTGGGGACAGGGAGGTCCCCACAGGTGCCCGTGACCTGTGTGGATGTATTCCGTCCCAGCAACCCCTGGGAACTGGCCAAGACGGTTTTTGGGGCCAAGGAGCTGGGCAAGATGGTGGTGGACTGTGTGAGTATGGGGCCCTCCTCAGTTCCCTCCCACCTGGCCTCAGCCCCTGGGACCCTGGTGTCGGGGAGGCTCTGTTGAACCTCTTTAGCCAGCTCAGGGTAGGGGGTCCCCGATTCTGTCTGTGTTGGCAGGGATCCTTAGTGACCACCTACCCCCTGGACTTTCAGACGTCTTTTAACTGTGGATCCCTTTCTTCAAACACAGCTGTGTGTGGAACCCCAGAATATCACATGGGACAAAAGCTTGTAGGGGGCGGGATGTAGAGGCCTGTGCACCCAGCACCCCCACCCTCAGCCAGGTGCTGCAGAGCTACCTGTGAAGACCAGTCCCCTCTGTTCCATAGCTGGGACCATCCCTGCGGCCCAGGCAGGGGGACTCAGCTGGGAGGGGGGTGGCTAAGCCAGAGTAGAACCTGGCGATCCCCGGGCAAGGACTGTGTGCACAGTGTGTGCTGGATGCTCACAGAGACTGCTTCTTGCCAGTGCACAGATCCCGATGGGCGGGCTGTGGACCGGGCCCGGGCCTGGTGTGAGATGGTGGGCATCCAGTACTTCAGGTGAGGTCTCAGCGAGCATCGGGCCCTGGCCCCTGGCCCCGGGCCCCCACCCCATACCTGCCAGACCTGGTGACCTTGCCCACCCAGCCCTTGGTGTGAACTTCTCCTTTCCCCAAGCAGCTGCTCTGTGCCCCAAGCCCGCCACAGTCCCGCTCTTGTTGCCCACCCAAGCCAAGCCTCCTGGGGTGACCCCTCCTCCTTGACCCAGACAGATTGAACCCCCAGCTTGGGACAGACATCATGCTGGACGAGGTGAGCGACACAGTGCTGGTCAATGCCCTGTGGGAGACTGAGGTCTATATCTACGAGCACCGGGAAGAGTTCCAGAAGCTCATCCAACTGCTGCTCTCACCGTGAGGCCACTAGGCTCCCAGCAACCCCCACCTCATCCCATTCCCCCCAGCCCCTGATGAAGAGGATGGGCGATGTCCCACCAGTGCACCAGCGGGCAGAGCTGGGCCTAGGTGGCTCTGCCTCTGCCGACCAGATGGGGCCTCAGAGGGTGCTGGGCTTCCTGCCTGAGGCTGGTCCTGAAGGCCTACCCCCACTGTCCCTACCTTCTGGCACCCTTTGTCATTCTGGGCTTAGAGATCCTAGAGCCCCACTCGGACCCTCGCCCTGACCGCCAAGGACAACTGACCCTTGGGCCCCTAGCCCTGTTGGTTTAGACACTAAGGAGGTTTTACCGGCCCCCTGGATGGGTACCACGGCCCCTTCCGCCCTCTGCCCTCTCTCCTGGGGCGACGGCAGTTGGAGAAACAGGCTGTTGCCCACCCATCAGCAGCCTAGGCTCCTGGAGTGGAGGCCCCATCTGACTCTGCCCCTCAACACACACCCAGCCACCTGCACCCCTTGAAGCTGCCCCACCCTGCGAGTCTCCTCAGCTCTCAAAGGTCACTCCTGTGACTTCAGTTCTTTCCAACAGGAAGTGGTGGGTGAGGGGGGCTGGGCTCCAGGGGCCACCCCAAACTGAAATAAATGGTTTGATTCCAGTTCACCTGTGTTGTGTGTGTTATGCTATGAGCCTGTCCCCCCACCTCCAGCTCCCTTTGGACTGTCATCGTCCTGTGCCCCCTTGACAAATGCTGTTTCCCGGCCTCCCCTGGGGCACGACCGGGGGCACCACTTTTCTAGGCCTCCCCAAATGAGGCCTGTGAGGGTATTCAGGGGTGCAGCTAAGCCACCTGCCCATGGTGAGGGGTTAGGGCGAGCCCTGTGTGCTATAGCAGGGGGCGGGACCCAGAGAGGGCAGGGGGCTTGGGCATGATCACACAGCCGATGAGCAGGGCCAAGGTTTGTCCTAGGTCTGTGAGGCTCTAGGGTTCGTGCTGCCACCTTTCCAGTGTGAGAAGAGATGGACCAGCAGGGACGGATGTGGGAGCCTGAGCCCTGAGGTGCGGTGTGTCAGGCTGGGGTGGAGAAGAGGCCAGACAGCAGTGACGCCCAGCGGTACGTTGGCCTCCTGGGCTGGGTGTGTGGGAGAGGGCTCCGGGGGAGGACACCCAGCAGCTCAGGCCCTATAACTCGGTCGATGCCCGATGTAGGCAGACGGGAGACAGGAGCCCCCACCCCGCCCTGAGCCAGGGGTCCCTGCGGGCCTGGGGAATGCTCACTCCAGAGGAGGAGGTGACCCAAGACAGTGGCCCTTCCACGCGTGCCCACCGGCCCATGGCTCAGAGGGGTAAATAATTGAAGGGCAGGTCACACGAACCTGCCCGCGTCACAGGATGCCTTCCTCCGGCTCTGGTTACGCCCCAGATCACATTCTGACATCCCTGGCTGGTGAATAATTAAGCTGCCACCTCCTCCCCGGCCACACAGCAGGCCCTCCGTCTCCAGGTCCTGCTGGGCAGCTTTCTTTGCTCCCTCAGAGCAGTGGGCACTGGAGGGGACTCACCCCCGCGCTCCTGGCCCTGCCAGCACCCCCAGCCTCCCCCAGCACCCGAGTTGCCGCCCACTCCATGGCCCCCGAGATGGACCAGTTCTACAGGTCCACCATGGCCATCTACAAGGTGAGCATGTGTGTGGCCCGGGCCCCAGGCCCGAGCACCCCTTCTCAGTGCCGGAAGGTTGGGCCAGGTCTGGGGGACAGGGTGAGCATGACTATAGCATGTTCTGGAAGGAAGGCCCTGAACGGGCCTGGGTTGGGGGCTCAGGGGTGGGGATCCCCGGGGACAGTTAACCACCCCAGGCCAGCCTGAGGCTCCTAGGGCAGGGGTTTGTCCAGTCGCCCAGTTAGTGACGGCCCCGCTGAGACGGTGCTCCTAGACGCTGGGCAAAGGCAGGATGAGGCCCACGGGGGTTAGAGGTGGGAGTGGGTGAGGCCCAGAGAGCCACCTGGCCCTGGCCTGCAGGGTCCCTCTCTGGCTGTCTCTCTGTCTTCCTGTCTCTGTCCATCTCTCCTTTCTGAGCCCCTCACTCGAATTGTCTGCTTCACTCCAGAGGGGTTGCCACTGTCTCTGTAGACTTTTATTGAGCACCTACTACACGTAGGACTTTCTTGCATGTAAGCCTCAGGACACCCTGCCGGCAGGATAGAAAATAGTCACCCCAAAGGATCGATGAGAAAGCCAAGGCCAACATGGTTAAACAGCTTGTTCAAGGTCACTGAACATCCCAGAGAGGCTTCTGTGATTTGAACCAAGACCCAAGCCTAAGTCCATGCCCCAGGCCCTCTGCATCTCCAGCTGTCCGTGGCCTGAGGTGGCCCGTGACCCAGCCACAGTCAGGCGCCCAACGGCTCTTCTTTGAGGCGGGTGAGACCTGCCCTTGCCCCTGAGGGGACTATCGGACATCCATGAGTCCAGCCCAGCGAGGCCTGGACCCAGGGTAGGGTGAAGCCACACCCAGCTGGGGGCTGCAACAAACCACGAGCCTCCTCCCCGAGGGAGGAGGAGAACCTTCCAGGTGCATTGTCTTAGGAGCAAGTTCCTGCCAGAGCAGGTGTGTGAGCAGGAGCAAAGCTAGAACAGGGCCCCAAGAGATGGCTGTAAGGCCTCTGCAACAGAGTCAGGATTTGGGGTGACTCCACATTCCTGGATGGGTTCCCCTATACTCGGGCTCCCTCTCTGGGGCTGGGGGTGCCCTGCTCTCGAGGCCCAGTGACACCTCTGCCCATCGGCCTTTCTTTTTCCTCCCTCCTTTGGCCTCGGGCTCCAGAGCATCATGGAGCAGTTTAACCCTGCCCTGGAGAACCTGGTGTACCTTGGAAACAACTACCTCCGGGCCTTCCATGGTAAGTCCCTGCCTGGCCCAGGGCTCCCAGCCTCCCAGCCTCCACTGTCCCCATGCACCTGGTCCTTCCATGCAGTCACCTGCACCCCACATCAGACATTCTGCTCAGGCTCACCCCTACACACTCCTATCCAGCACTCTCATCCACACACACCCACACGCTCCTATGCCTGCTTCTTAGGTGACCTCCAGATGCTCCCAGAGACACAGGGCTTGGCTCTGGTGGCCTCCGCGGCCCCAGCCACACCACGCTTCTATAGGTCACCTTCATGCTGCCTGGTGAGCCCACTGCTATACCCAGGCCCACTTCTGCAAGCCTGGCTTCACACCACAGCTGTCTGTCCTCACTCTGACCACGCACCCCGCCAGCTGAACCTCACTCTCAGTGCCCGTGCTAACAGCTACCTCTCCCCCATTTCCCAACAACACCTGCTCCAAGGCTAATCACTCCACCAGGGCTTGCAGTCCTCCCTGCAAAGGACAAGCCAGGGACACACCCGGAGCTGAGGGCCACCCAAGCCCTCCCTGCCTTTTAGGACTTTGGAATCAAAGCCTACTTTCCCCTATGCCAGCTACCTCAGCCCACCCCCACCCCATGCCCTGACACCTGCACAGAGCAACACACCTGCCCACACCTCCCTGTGCATACACACAGGTGCCGCACCTGCACCCATGACAGACATGCACTCAGGTCCTGCTCAGTGCCAGTCCCTGTGCTGGGTGCAGCTGTCCTGGCCCTGCTCCATACCTGCTTTCTCCTCCGGCCAACACCACGTGTCCACACACACCACCCAGGACAGTACCCCACACACGTACCCGTGCCTGATCGCATGGTGTCCCCTCCATGGGCCCTCTCCTGGCAGGAGGGGCCTCCAGGGGTGAGAGCAGATGGAGGAGGGGGGCTAGACCCATCCCTGTCCCCCTGCAGCTCTGTCCGAGGCAGCTGAGGTGTACTTCAATGCCATCCAGAAGATTGGGGAGCAGGCCCTGCAGAGTTCCACCTCGCAGATTCTGGGTGAGCCGCTTCCCCTTCTGCTATATCCTTCATTCTTTCTTGGGCCTGGGGCTCTCCTCCTGGTCCTGCCTCCACCCTAGGCCTCCTCCTGCTGTCCAGACCCCTCTGCCTCCCCGGTGCTGTCCCTTGGGCATGAGGCCTGCCTTGCCCACCATCCTGGGATCCCAGAAAGGGTTCCTTTTACGTTCTTACCTTTCCTGGAAAATCCCCCTAAGACACAGGCCTTGCAGCCCAGCGCCCAGCGCCCAGACTCCTGTTCTGGAGCCCAAGCTCCTCTGCACCACTCTCTGCAGGGCTGTTCCAGGGCTGGGACAAGCTCTGCCATCCTCACAGAGCCATATGGGAAATCCTTGGACTTTGGTCCCAAAATCCCATCTCAGGCAGCCCCTGTGGCAGCTTCTAGCAGGAAGAGGGTGGGTGGGGCAGGCGGCCCCCACTGAAGCTTCTGCTCTCCATGCCTCCAGGAGAGATCCTAGTGCAGATGTCAGATACCCAGCGGCACCTGAACTCCGACCTGGAGGTGGTGGTGAGTATCACACCGCACGGTGCTGAAGGGTCACTCAGGAGAGTGGGGTGCATTCCAAGGAAGACCAGGGCCCCATCTCCCACCTCCTTTCCCAGGGAGGGATCCCTGGGGCCTGGGGTGACACACAAGCACTGCTCTTCTGGGTACCTGCCAGGGCCAGGCTGCGTGGGGCATGTACACCTGCCATATCTCGTTCAAGCCGCCAGCCAGCCTGGGAGGCAGGTGCCACTTGTCTCCATTCTACCAAGGAGGAAACTGAGTCTCGGAGATCTGGTCTCTTGCCCCCAATTCCAAAGCAAGTGGAGGAGCTAGGGAGAGAAAAGACCCCCGCCCAGGAGCATGTGGCCAGGCCCTGCCCCTCTCTGGCTCCCGGGCCCCTCCCTCCATGCTCCCAGGGAGCAAACCAGCCACCTGACCTTGTCACACCCGCGAGAAAAACCCAAAGAACTAAACCCAGTCTTCTCAGTGAGGGAGCCCAGGCCCTGCTGACCCAGCAGCCTCCCTGTGGCACCCCCAATCACAGCCCAGCACCACAAAGAGCTGCCCTCTGCAGACACAGCCTGGTGTTCCTACCCTTGGGCTGTCTTCATGCCATTCTCTCAGCCTAGATCCACCCCCATCCTTGCCGGCCAGCACCTTACCAGGCCTCCCTTGACCCCCCAGACAAGCTCATTACTCCTCCTTCTGGACTCCAACAGATGCTTCTATGCATTCTTAGTACGTGATGGTTAAGACAGCGAGCTCTGCAGCCAGAGCACCTGCGTTCAAAACCCAGCTCCACCCGCCACTGGCTTGTGACCTTGGACAAGCCTGTCTGTACTTTGGCTTACCTGTCTGTCAAATGAAAATAATCATAACTACCGGCGGGATTCTCATGAGGACTAAGCAAATTCATTAGTTTAAACTAGATGCCTGGCGCCCGTAGCCCTCCATGCATCTTCTTGGTGATAATTGGCAGTCAGATCCATCACCCTGTCTCTCTCCCACCAAGACTGGGAGCCCCGCAAGGGCTGAGGTGGGGCCTGGCACCTGGCAGGGGCTTCACTGACCCTGGATAGAAGGAGCAAATTTGAAAAGGAGAGAGTAGGGCCTGACCCCACAGAGAGGGGATGAGCAGGTATTCCCAGGGGGTGCGGTGGGCTAAGCACTGGGCGGAAGGCAGCCAAGGATGGGGAGCTGGGGCAGAGCACAGAGGAGCTGGTGGTGAGGGGTCTTGGAAAGCTCAGGAGGAAATCAGCTCAGTGTGACACCACGTGGCTTGCAAACATGTGTGTATGAGGGGGACCCCCCCCGGAAGTCAGGGTGTGCTTTAGGGGGACACCAGAAAATATGTAGCAGTTTGGTTACAACGTCAAAAGGGGGAACAATTTTAGGAACAGAAAGTGTGCCTCCACCTGCACAGGATCACACCCTGGTCCTAGGCCCACCTCTGGGACACTTGCAGGCTCAGGGCTCTGCGGAGCCCCCTCCCGGGGCTCGGGGGGGAGTTAGGAGCACCGCTCCTGCTGGCAGCCAGTGACACTTCCTATCCTCGGGTTTGATGGCTCTCTGTGTCACTCGTGGCACACCTGGGCTGGATAAGGACGAGTGTCATCCAGGCCTTCGCTGTAAGGAGAGATCTTTCCTCTCTGGGCACCCGCATCTTGGCTGTGACAGCTGGGCAGGGCCCTCGGCCAGAACCAGAGGCTGCCTGCCCCGGGCTCGCCCATCCAACAGCTCTCCGCAGCCAGGCGCCAGGCCCCGTTGCAGACAAAGCCCTTGCCCCCACCCCCACCCCCGCCACCCTGAGAGGAGCCAGACAAAACGCCAGACTAACAAGTGAGCATATACGAGGCAGTATGTAGAGATGCGAGAGGTGCCCTGGAGGAAGACAGAGCAGGGAAGGCTCGTGGCTGGTGTTGGACGGCTGCAATTTTTAAGATACTCTCAGAAAACAGGACTAGGAAGGGGACACTGAGAGAGGCCTGGGAGAGGGGAGGGTGAGGGAAGGGCCTTCCGGGTGGAGCTCCTGAAGGCTAGCAGGCGTGTGTGAAGGAGAAAATCGGCTGGGACAAGAGCCCTGTCCTGTGGCCTTGCCCAGGCTCTGGCCATTCTTCTGAGTGTGCAAAGCTAAAGATAGACAGGATATGACTTTTTTTTAAAAAAATATTTTATTTACTTATTCATGGGAGACACAGAGAGAGAGGCAGAGACACAGGCAGAGGGAGCAGGCTCCCTGCAGGGAGCCCGATGGGGCACTCGATCCCAGGACCCCAGGATCACAACCTGAGCCAAAGGCAGATGCTCAACCACTGAGCCATCCAGGTGTTGTCCCCAGGATCTCACTTTTTTTTTAAAAAAAAAAGATAATTTATTTATTTATTCATAGAGACACACACAGAGAGAGAGAGGCAGAGACACAGACAGAGGGAGAAGCAGACTCCACGCAGAGAGCCTGACGTGGGACTTGATCCAGGGTCTCCAGGATCACGCCCTAGGCTGCAGGCGGCGCTAAACCTCTGCACCATCAGGGCTGCCCTCATTTTTTTTTTTTTTTTTTATCGTGAAGTAAAACACCAACAGAGAACGTCTCACTGAGCAAATTAGAGCTTAATGAATCATTTTAAGGCAAACTACTTTCCAGGTCAAGAACTGTGGTAGCCTCTCCAGGAGCCCGTCAAAATCATAGCCCCTCCTTCCCTCTCCCCCAAAGTAACCACTGATCCCATGCTTCCTTGTGTTCCTTTGTAGCCAATCACTCAGGCGTATGTCCCTGGACACTAGAGTTTGGTTGTGCTCAATCTCTTTTTTCAAACATGCCTTTGAGTTTCTTAACCAACTGGTTCCCTCCATCCCTTTCTTTCCCTTACAACTTGTCTGTTGAAGGCCCTGGGACCCCATGGCTGGTTTTCCTAAAATCTGGAAACGGCCGATCTTGCACCTTTGGTGCAGTTCACATTATTCCTCTGTCCTTTGCATCTAGGGGCTTGATCAGACCCAGGTTCTTTTTTTTTTTTTTCTTTTTTAAGATTTTATTTATTTATTCATGAGAGACATAGAGAGGCAGAGACACAGGCAGAGGGAGAAGCAGGCTCCCTGTGGGGAGCCCGATGTGGGACTCGATCCAGGACCCCGGGATCACGCCCTGAGCCAGAGGCAGATGCTCAACCACTGAGCCATCCAGGTGTCCCATCAGACCTAGGTTCTATCCTTCTGGCAAGATCCCAGAGAGCGCTGGGTTCTTCCATCAGAAGTCACGTCACGTCTGCAGCCATGTGATGTTAACAGCCGTTGGGGCTCAGTGTGTCCAGATCCATTCACACACAGGAAGTTAACTGCTCTTCTGATGTGCTCTTACCTGTTAACTGGGATATTTCTATATGGAGACGCTTCTTTGTTAGTAGTGGCACATTTTTGTGTGAAAAGTAAGGTAAGGTTTATTCAATCCCTTCACTTATTAGCTTTTGAGATCATGAATGGGCTGTCACCCTGCTGTCCTCTGAAGGTGACCAATTAGCTGTATTGTTTTCCTCACATCATTACTGTGGTATTTTTTAGTATCATCAGTATCGTACATTTAAACACATTGGCTGTATTTCAGTCCTTTGCATTTATTGTCTTTAGCAAAGTTGAAAATGTTCCCTCTTTGGCCAATAGAAGCTTCTTCAGTCTGGCTCCTGAGTCTCTTGGGTACAACCCTAGTAGTTTTGATGGCTTTCCGGCTGTTTTGTTTTGTTCAGCCTCTTCTGGGTTACACAGCTTCTCCTTTGTTCTGGTCCTCATAAGAATCCTGACTCTTGGGGCACCTGGGTGGCTCAGTGGTTGAGCATCTGCCTTTGGCTCAGGTCCTGGGATCGAGTCCCGCATCAGGCTCCTGGCAGGGAGTCTGCTTCTCCCTCTGCTTCTGTCTCTGCCTCTCTCTCTGTGGCTCTCATAAATGGAATAAATAAAATCTTAAAAAAAAAAGGAGAATCCTGATTCTTGAGGATACAGAGAATGCAAGCATTCAGACATCCCAATCATCTTCAGGCATGAAACATTGAATGTTTCTGTTGAAAAGTCTGATGATCTGTTTTTTCCTGTCATAAATCACTTGCTTTTTCAGCCTAGATGCCGGATTTTTTTTTTTCTTTTTCTTCAGTCTAGTAATTTTTCTAGACATGTCTTGGTGTTGATCTATCTGGGTCAATATCCTCAGTCACAGGGTGTACTTTTGCAATAAGTAGTTTTAAATTCTTTTCTTTTTTTAATTTCAGAAATGTTATCTTGAATCATAATTTGTAGAATGTTTTTGTTCTCTACCTTTGCATTTCTTCCTCAGGGACTCCTATTATCTGTATGTTAGATCTCCACAGCTTATCTTCAACATCTTTTCTTCGTCTTGGCTATTTTTACTTTTTTCTTCATTTCTTCCCCCACCCCCCAAATTCCAGATGTTTTGATTTAATACCTGGACCAAGAACAGAGCCCATAATAGAAGTCCTATCATAGATGTATCTATATATACAATGATATATAAAAATATATTCTCATGGGGCTGCCTGGGTGGCTCAATCAGTTAAGTAACTGCCTTTGGCTCTGGTCATGACCTTGGGGTCCTGGGATTGAGCCCCATATTAGGCTCCCAGCTCAGTGGGGAGCCTGCTTCTCCCTCTCCCTCTGCCCCACCCCTGCTTGTGCTCTCTCACTCTCATAAATAAATAAATAAATAAACAAACAAACAAACAAACAAAATCTTTAAAAATATATATTCTGGGCAGTCCATGTGGCTCAGCAGTTTAGTGCTGCCTTCAGCCCAGGGCATGATCCTGGAGACCCAGAATCGAGTCCCACGTCGGGCTTCCTGCAAGGAGACTGCTTCTCCCTCTGCCTCTCTCTCTGTGTCTCTCATGAATGAATAAATAAAATCTTTAAATAAAAAATAAAAATATATATTCTCAGGACGCCTGGGTGGCTCAGTAGTTAAGTATCTGCCTTCAGCTCAGGGCATGATCCTGTAGTCCCGGGATCGAGTCCTGTAT